CGAGTGAGGGAAAGAGAAAACGATGGAGACAGTGAGTGAGTTAGCAAGTCACAGAAGCAAGCGAGCGGGAGTCAGTGGATGAGTCAGTCGGGAAGGGGACCGACTTGATTAGTGAGTGAGTGAGCTAAGGATATGGTGTGAGGGGAGCGAGAAACTGAGTGAGACAGTGAATGAGAAAATGGTGTGAATGAGGGATTGAATTAGTGAATGAGCAAAGAGTAATTGAGTGATGAGCAAGATACAAAGAGAGTGTGAGTGACCAACTCAGAGAAGGAATTAGGTAGATCTCCGGTGGCATCCACTAAACCCCGAGTGGTTAATCAGCGACCACACAGTTATCAGGCAATGAGCAGCGCTCCCATTGCTCGCTCGTGCGCCTTTGCAGCTTTGGCTGGGAGTAGTTCGTTTTTGTTTTGGCATGCAAATTTCCTATCAAACGAGAATATATTAAAAAAAGATGGAGATCTGTTCAATGGTGTGCAGAAAGCTCTCGGATAACAACATCAGTGGTGCAAATCCATGACCGGCTTGGGTCACGATGTAGCTGCAATCCCGCTTCAAGGGAGTAAATAAATAGCTCCCTGCAGCGCTTGTTAACTCCGAAACTACCCTCCACGCCACAATCCACAATGAGCCGATCAGGCACCAGCACAAAGACAATGCACTCAGGACAATGAGAGCTCGGGGTGAGCAGCTGCATCATGGGACCTCCTTTGCCAGTGTCAAAATATAAGAATAGGTTTTCCCTTTTTTTCTGGCAACAAAACAGGTCAGCTTACCGTCAAAACTACTTCACAAAAATAGCACTCACTAGAGTGCTCGATGATATTTGAACGATTATTGATTCCGGCTCCATTGTTGCACTTGTAAGTCTGGAAATTTCGTCAGCCTTTGAGACCGTCAACCACTCGCTCCTTAGTTCCCTCCTGAAATCCGACTTCGGTATATGTGGCTCAGCACTCAAGTGGATACTGTCGTACCTTTCGGACCAGCCATCTTCAGTCAGGGTGGGCACGTCCACATTGCCTGACACAAAAGCACTATATGGGGTTCCCCAGGGCTCCATCCGAGGTTCCCTGCTCTTCACAGCCTACACTTCCCCGATCGGCCGGCTCATCGCAAGCTTCGGTGATAAGCACCACTCATACGCGGATGACACTATTCTATTCGCTGCCATCGATTCTAGCAATGCATCTGGATTCGAGAGGCTCTCGGAATGTACCACCGCCTTGCAACAGTGGTCCACTGCACACAACCTAGCTTTTAATCCGAAAAAGTCAGTGGCCATCATGTTAGGTACCAAGCAACGTTTTAACTCATCAGCACTAACAACACACATACACCTCTTTGGTCACAGCATCAGGTTCACTGATCACTTCAGCTACCTCGGTGTCATCCTAGATTCAACTTTATCCTTCGACCGTCAAACCAATCATATCATCAGTTCATGTAACTTTCACTTGATAGCTCTCAGACACCTACGTCCTCTCATCTCCACTGAAACTTCCAACACATTGGCATTTTGCATAGTTGGGTATCGCCTCGACTATTGCAACTCCGTCCTAGTCCGGACCTCCACTGGCAACCTAAAAAAACTTCAAAGATTTACAAAACAACCTGGCACGAGTCATCATTGGCCGCACTCATCCCCGTCTCAACTCATTTGCCTGTCTCCGTGCCCTCAACTGGCTACCCATTGCCAGCAGGTCATATACAAGATCACCTGCCTCTGCCACCTTGCCTTCACATCTGCCTGCCCGCCGTACCTTTCTTCATTATTGAAGACTTGCAGCTCAGCACACGGTAGATGCCTGCGCAGCGCGACTCACGACCTCCTCTTGATACCAAGATCCGGGATGGTCATGTCTATGCGCCGCTTCTCGGTGGCAGCCCCAACAGTCTGGAAAGCCATCCCTCTGCACATTCGCAGCATAACCTCAATCGTCTCCTTCAAGAGACACTTAAAAACTCACCTCTACAACCACGCTTTCGAGTGACTCCGAGCTTGGCTCCGCGCCTCCGAGTTGCGGCCGTTACTGTCCGCAAATTTGTGCGCGTTATAAATTGCATTATTATTATTAAGATGTTAAAACACCAAACTGAAATCTTTTGCAAGGAATCATGTCTGCATTAACCAGATACTTGTGGTGAAAATACAAACAAAAAACATGCTCTGACAGTATATGCATTGTCTTTGAAACTGATTGGTCCACACCAGACAGCTTTCTTTAGAGCCTCGTCTCAAACAGCGTTAGACCAGAGGGCTCGAGCAGTTGGCCAGAAAAAAATGGTAAACGACGAGCCAACATCCCCAAGCGATAAGCGGATGATGCAGCCAATTGTGTGAATGTTGGGCGTTGCACGCAAACACGGCAGGACACACACACACACACCACCACACTGCTAAGACGAGCTTGTGCAGATGTGCGTTTCACTTCCAGATTGACCCGGTGTCCGGCTCCTTCACATTATTTACAAGGCTCAGGTCTATCAGATCAGGGGTCGTCCGTCAGTCAGAAAGTGACAATTGATTTGCAATTAGCAACGAGTTGCCTGCAATCAGCGAGGACGTTTCTGCCTAAGTGCCACGTTGATGACACGCTCGTCAGCGTGCAATCTGTTTTAATTGCGAGCCTGCTGTCGACGACCTCCTCAAATGAAAGCATCTTCAGGGTCTCCATCATCACACCTATTCATTGCTAAATGGTCTCCCCACTCCGTAGCAATCCCTCACTGTGCTGCGACACTACAATGCGTCTAACGGCCACATATGCAATGGCCTGAACCTGTTCATTTCTAACATCTTTGGCCCTTTGTGGATAACGTGGCGCTTCAATGAAGCGACGTTCAAATACACGAGCGAATACCCCCACTAAGATTTACAACTGATCAACAGACCAAAATTGAAGCGATCAATTTAAATCGCCCACATTTGGGGCACCTTTTTGGCGAGAGCTGGCGGCTACAATATGGAAGTGGTGAGCAGTGTCGTGATATTCGGTCTCCCCAGCTGCTGTGCGGCAAAGTCGTCCTCAGAGAGTAGCAACCGCAAGACCAGAAACTCTGGCGGCCCCGAACAGACACACGGCCATCCGCTTGTCCGCCTGGGGACAAGCGGACGGCCGATGTGGCAACAGGCAATTAAATAAAAGGAAATGTTACATGAAATGTCACCAGTGGAAATGAAGAAAAGCTATTTAGTCAATCCGTTGAGTGACTTAGCAGGATAATATGACTGGCAGCGGGAATTGTGATGAACAGCGGCGATCATGTGAGCCCATTGTGCTCGCGAGGGCTTACTAAGTAAGCGCTGCAAGCGCAGCTGCCGAGTGCCGTGGAGGAGCATTCATTGAGCTCGTTTAAATCAGCAGCTGGGCGGATTGTTCGGCTGCCGAGTCGCATTTGAGATGCGCTCGTACGCGGTGCGAGAAGAGAACCCGAGTGGAGAAATGAAGTGGTTTTTGAAGTTGCAAGTAATTATCCAGCCAGATGGGTCACGCCATGTTTTCGCGTCTCGTTGGAAATGTGTTTTTACGAATCGTTCCCATCCCATCGCAAAATAATTCCCTCCGAGTGTTCTTTTCATCGTGTTTAAGTTTGTGCAAACTATAAAGCTGCATTTTCTCCAAATGTGGGATTAAATACTCTCCTGAGGCGCTGCGAAAGATGGCCATTGCAAAGGTTGGAAATCAATACTTAACTAGTTAGGGGTGGTAGAATAATTATGCATCCAATCAAAGAGTAATATACATTTTTAGGCTCTCGACGAAAGCTAAATAATTAGTTATCGTGTTGAACCGTGCCTCCAAATTTCAAAAGAATTGTCGATTTGCCATGGGGGTGAATAGTTTTCTCTGGAATAAATAGCAATCATGCTCTCCGCAGTACTCCAGCAATGAATCCCACTCCCCACCCTCTGCCTCCGAAACACTCTTGGGAAATGTCAAACTATTACAGACAGCAAAAAATGTACAGAATGTATGCAACACTTTATAAACCTCTATCTCTCAAATATCTGAAAAAAATGGCCATTGCAGTGTTTCTCTTGCAAGATAGTTACAGGTGAAGAAAGGTAGTGAATACAGTAATCCCTCGCCACTTCGCGGTTCAAGTTTCGCGGCCTCAGTGCATCGCGGATTTTTCGAACTGATTTAAAGGCCTCATTATACCTGTGCAGTAACACCATCATCATCATCATTCATCATCACATTCATCGAACTGCACAGGTCTGTCATCGTCGTCATTGTCATCGTCATTGTCATCGTCGTCATTACTGGAGTCAAGTCTCAAGATACTACTGTCATTGGTGAGTGTAGAACAGCATAATATGTATCATATGAGAGAGAGAGAATGTATAATATTAAGGTTTTATAATTAAATAGATTTAAGTAAAATATACTGTATATATAAAGAATAAATATACATATTTTAAACATTCTGGTACCCACACACACCTATACGGAAATTCCTAGTGGGCCAATCCTACTTCGTGGATTTTCACCTATCGCGAGGGGTTCCGGTCCCCATTAACCGCGATAGACGAGGGATCACTGTATATGTTTTAGTATGTTGTATGAACGCTGGGGTGGAATAGTGTTACAGTGTTTAGTACACTGCGCGATGAATCCAGCAACCCGAGTTTGACTCCCAGCCACAGCTAACATCAGTGGCGAGTGATTTATGAACCGGTTGCGACACCTCACTCCCAATACACCCTTCACGAGCCTGCAATGAACTGCGTGAAGTATAATCAAGCAACCGCCATGACTTATCGAGGACCATCCAGCAGTGGATTGACAAAGGGCCGTATGCATTAATAAGAGCGGAAGTAATGCATCACATGGCCATGTGAGAGGTACTCACTGTACTGTGGATCCACATATTGGGCATAGCTGTTACGGTCAACCACCAATCACGGCAGTCAACCACCATCACACAATCAAAGCAGTCACCCATGGAGTAGTTAACCTGACGCAACCATGTGGACATGAGAGACGTACGCTCTCGACTGTGGGGTCCACCCGCGCGCGCTTCTTGCGAGGAACCTGCGAGGGAGGGGGGTTGGGTGGCTCGCTGGGGCCAGGGCCGTCGCCTATGGGCGACACGCGCAGCACAGAGCACGCCAGAGTCAACCACAGCCGCAGTCACCCGCTGAAGTCAACCGTTACACAATCACCGCACAGTCACCCGCTGAAGTCAACCGTGACACAATCAACGACACTGACACAGCCATGTCACAACTGCATTGTGGTTTCAAAATCACCTGAGGGCTGATTTGACCTCAATTAGATACTGGAGCACTAACAATGCATTCTGATTGGAACCCGGGAAACATTTCATCCCATGTGGGGGATGTGGGGGGGGGGTCCGCAAAAAATCCAATCCAGCTGCAAATCAGACGTCGAATTATGAAACTGCTCGGTGTCAATTTGAACGCTCGCTTGTGAAGGGAGGAGTCGTGTCCATAAGTCACAGGAACACGGGCTGCTGCCGCTGCTCAAGCCCACCAATTAGTGCCACTAACTGCAGCGCTGCCTCCCGAGCATCTGTGCGCTAAGCGTCTCAAGGCTGCGTACAAAACAACCCCTTTACTCTGCGCATCTGCTAGGGCCGATTCCTTGCAGTGATAAAACGCAGTGCTGGGGGGGGGGGGGAACAGCCCCTTGCCTTCACTGTGCGGTTTAAGTGAAACGGCCAGGATGACATGAGCGGAACGCTGAATTAGGACGTGGGCCTCCATACCTGTATACTTAACTTTCATAAAGTATTGTCTATCATCTGGAATAAGTTTGGCGAGCTCTTATCTCCATGGCTGAATGTGTGACGTCATTGCAGCTACTCCATGTTTGTTTTCACTCATAAATATTAGTTTATTTAGGCCTTTGTATGCGAGTACTTGGATGAGTGTCAATTTCCACCGAGTCAAATGCATTTTCAGTATACAAAAACCAGGCATGTTGATATTTGATATTGATTTGTCTTTTCCAGAATCTGATCCATTGTACTGTAAAGTACTTTTACTCTTCTCGAATAGTATTAAATGTTTTTATTATTACTCTGTACTGCCCACACATTTGTGGGGGAGCCACGGCCGGGGTGGAGGGTGGGGGAGAGTCGACGTGATATTAAAATGATGCTCAAACCCGGCTCAACGCTGTGGGATGCAGGTGACATCATAGCACAGATCTGCTTGGTGGCATAAGCACTTTGAACTTCTCCGCCCGCGTGCCAGCCAGAAATCTTTTTAAAATAATATAGTAAGAGCACTCTTGTTTTCCCAAGAAAGTAGTCTCAATACTCTTTATTCGTACGTTCCCACCCAATTTTTCAGTGGGGCGCAATGTTGCTATGTGTAATCCCAATAGAACAATTTGCAGGTAATTTTTCAGCATTGGGATGTTTTGGCCAAAAGACCTGTTAAGAGTGTACTTTTTTTTTTAGCGAACCCCCGTTGGAAACCCACACAGAAAATGGTCGAGTTGGGAATTGAACACATGGCCATTTTTCTCCGTGGCACACGCGTTACCATTGCACCGCCCTGCCACCCAATATTACAGAATAATTTTGAATAAGCGGCACAAAGCAGTTATTATATTTCACATTAAGGTGCTTCTATCCATACAATGGAATTCGTGCACAAGTTGTTTCCAGGTCACTTCGATGAAAGTCATGGGCAGTGCGATAGGAAAGCAACTCAGCCCCACACTCAATGGGTACTTGGGCCGATCAGCTTTGGGAAAGGCTGCCGCTGGGAACGTTTTTGTCAGTCGTGCGGCATGCCAGCGTGCAGTTGTTAGTCGCTCAAACGGGCAGATGCACCTTCAAAGGGAGGCGGGTGGGGGTGCGTCTTTAGAAACATCAAATGGCAATGACGAGGATGATGAGAAGAGTCACTTTCACAGGCCGACCGCGAGCGACGGCCAAACGTTTCGTTCTCTAACCTACACCTAACAGCTTAATAAATGAAATATCTAAAAGATGACAAAGACAAATTTCTGGAATGTAAACCATACCTTTTTGTTTGTTCTTTTTCCCTTTGCTGCAAAAAAAACGCACACACAAAACCTGTTAAGTCATCGTTAAAATTTCATTCACTGTAAATTAACAGACCCAGGCCAAAGGGGCCTTTGATTAAAGCTTACTCTCAATAGCACTTGGTTATCACAATCTGCAAATCCTTCCCTGTCGTAGCATGTTAGTAATTACGCACAGCGTGCCTCGACTCACTAGAGCGTGCATTGTTCGAATCTTAAATATTCGGGGGGCTTAGGAGAGGTCGCACTCTAAAATACGGTGGAGGAAAATAAATAAGCATGCAAACGAAATGAACCTCAATACACATAATCACATTGCTCTCCATGCCTGCGAGGTTAAGATTACATTTAAGAATCATAAAAATGGCATTACGTTCGCTTGTATTTCATTACTTTCTTTATAACGCGTCCGTTGTAAAAATGCGAATGCGATGCCAAAAAAACCCCAAAAGAACGAGGGAAAATAAATTCCGCCTCGTGGCGCGCAAATCCTCAGCTCGACACACCGCACATGCCAAATGTATGTGCAAGCGGACGTCAGCAGACGCAGTACTCATTAAATCCTCTGTCCCTGAAGCGCACTTCTGCATAAGAGCCCTGTGCCATTAAAATCACCGTAATTATCAAGATAAAAAGCATTACCTACTGTGGCCGGATTGGCTAAGGCTTATCAAGCTCCTTGACAAAAGAACGGCGTTTTGAAATTTTTACACGGCTGGGTGGTTGCAAACAAAAAAAAACAGCGCCGGCATCGCCATGTCCGAAGCACATTTAAGAAAGGTACAATTCATTATCTTGGACAAGTGTGCGAGGGGGTCACAGAAACCCAGCGGACATTAGATTCTACATGCACCACATGGATGAGAAGTTAATTGACTCGTGATCCCAATTCGTGACAATTCAACAAATGTTGAAGGGGTGAGTCATTATAGCTCAACACTCCATGTCCATACAACATCTTGGATTGACATTTTTTTCAAAAGCTCTTTTATGAATGTGCGGCGTTTTCCAATTACACAAAGATGGGGGCGCTTAAGTGTTCATGATCGCCACTAAAACGAAGGCAAGCATCGCCGTCCGTGTTATGCACAGCATCGTGAGATGCGGTTGCATTTATCTTCATAAACCCGAATCGTATGTCACTGCATTATTGCGTGATCTCATCAAAAGATGCATCTGGGATCTTAAAAGGTCACCAAAGAATATGTGAGCATCGGGAATTTAAAATTGTACTGAATAAGATTTAGTCTTATGCTTACTTGCATAAAATCGGCACGTGAAAATTAATATATCGTTTTTGCAAGCGGTACGTTAATTTATCTGCCGTGACATTTAGCCTGGGGTGCAGCGGTGGTGCAGTGGTTATCGCATTACGCTATGAACCCAGTGAGTTTAATTCCCGGCCATGGCTAAGATCAGTGGTGAGTGATATCTGAACCGGTCCTGGGCACCCCCCTTCACCAACCCGTACTGACCAGTGTGGTGAAGTAAGGTCAAACAATCCCCTGCAACACAGTGTGGGCAGGCCTTCATTCAGCAGTGAATTGATCAAGGGCTGTACATTACACTACATGTATATCAATATATATTTTACATTTAGGCTAACGGAGAAAACAAGACAATACAAATGAGATTAGAACAAAATTTGGAGAAAAAATACTTGCTTAAGCATGGATCATGTAACACTTTCATTAGCAGTACGCAAGCCGACGATGGATAGCTGTCGAGACAAAATTCATTTTGCATATCTGAAAAGTTATATTTTTTCACTCTCTGGATTGTGCCTCAAAGTTTTGGGCAACCTGTCCCGAATTGCAACAAAACTTTACACAAGTTTAATTCACAACGGATAGTCTTTACACAAATTATAATGCTCCTCCCACCCCTACCACCCCATTACGGATGAAAATACAGACCAACAGATACAATGCAAAAACACTTTCAAACTTCATTGGAAATCTTTTAAAATAATTATTTTACTAATTAAATCGTGTCCCAGAAAACATAACAAGTCGAATCGCATGGCAGATGAATCGTTACGTGCGTAGCGCGTGATGGCATGTGCGAACGGGCGCCCTGAGGGACACTTACGGGTTTCCCTTCTGCAGCTCCTTCTGCTTCTGCAGGTTTGCCTCCACGTACTTCAGCACGCGGCTCTCAGGGACCCACTCGTCCCAGCTGGGGAACAACAAACATGGCAGCCTAGCGTGAGCATCATGGTTGGCTACGTACCGTGTGAAAGAAGTTCAACATACGTACATAACATCACGTGGCCCCGACGATTCCTTCACGAATTTGTAGCCAACATCACGCGATTCGTAATTAAAGAGCGGTCTTGCAGGCTTCTACTCAAAGCTTGCAGAAGGCACGACTACGGGCATCTTTAGGAATTAAATTGAGGAACATCACCTGGTCCAAATTTCTATGTAACAAATTATATCATGGTGATGCTGTTGTGTTGGCAGTGCTGCACAAACATAACTAACAAATAAACTCTCAACGCATTCAACAAATAAATGTATAATATGCGACGTTTCTGGCAAGTGCCCTTGTTCATAGCACAAGAAGAAGTCAGAGACGGAGTGGATAACAATAAGAGTTGGAGACTGCACCATACACCATCGGGCTTGATGAGAATAAAACTTCAAAAATGTTCTTCGATGACAAGCTTTGACATTTCATTACTTGGTTGTACATTTATATTTGGTCGTTTGCATTGATTTCTATTGACTGCATTGTCGTACGTAATGTGTTTGTTTGAATGTTTTTCTGCTGCCTTATGCAAATTTATTTTCATTTTTATCACAATGTCAATAATTTTCTCCACTGCTTCTATTTGCCTAATCTAGTAAATTTCCTTTCCAGGAATGACTTTATATTTCTTGTACATTCGAATTTGAAGGCGTAATTCACCTCCTTTACTTAGCCATATGAAAAAACCATGTTATTAAGTCATTGTTCAATGCAGTCTAGACTTATGATTAAAACAAATCTCAAAATATCGCATTTACATAAAATTACTTCATGTAATAACTCAGGTTTGCCTTTCAAAAGCAATGTTTTACGTGCCTCTAAATGGAATATTTTAATGTGCTGGTTAAATAGCAGAATATTACTGCTACTATGTGACTAAATTTGTGACAATTTGTTTGTATTGTTTGGGGTGCCAAGTTGTTTCGTACCTATTCTGCAGCCCAAGGTACTTAATTACAGGCCATATGAAAACGATAGCAGCAGATATGATGGCAAACAGCTAAAGTGTGTGTACACTGAATTTCAAGTAATTACATATTTTTTCTGTGATGGGCCAGGTTGGAAAAATAATAATTTTTCACGAAACATTTTGCAAATAGCAACCACTCAGTAAAAGACCAGCACGTCTGTGTGTGAGAGCTTTGTGTGCAGAAATGCTCCACTCACTTTTTGTTCCATCCATTGTAGTGAACAAAGTATTTGATCTGCTTGTCTTTTATCACGATCTTCACACACTGCAACAAAAACCAACCGATTTTAATATAGGCTTTCACGATCGAATCACATGATGATTCGTAATTAGTTTAATTTGGGTTAGATCATCGAGTGGGTACGTTAATTTTCAGCAAGACCCTCTGCCACCAGACAGGGCCAACAAATCACATTGTCGCATCATGGACAGAATTTAACACTGATTTGGTTTAACAGCCAAACTAGTGGAGGAGGAATGTTACAAATCCCAAGCACAACAAGCGACAATTTTACACGACGTTTTGGCAGGAGATTACATCCAACATCAGCCGTTCATAAAAGTTCAGTTCTGGGTAAGCCTGCAGTGATCTAACCCAAAGGAAATTAATTATGAATCGCAAACAACCAAGCCAATTAACAAAACAAAACAGCAGCACAATAAATACGTCGCCTGTCTTGAGGCCCGCCCGCAAACACGTGTGCTGCAGAGGAGCTAAAACTTGCACGCGTCCCATTGAACGAGGGTTTGTTAAACTAGTTGCTCGTGTTAATTCGTGAACGCGATTACCGATCGGTTTACCAACAACCTTTGCCAATCCCGCACCGAACAGCGTGAAGTATGGTCGAACAAGCAACACGACCCAATACGGCGTGGTTGAGGCCTTCTTCATGCAGCAGTGGACTTACAAATTACTGTAAGTTATATCTCTGTACTGTATACAGGACTATACTGTGGTGTGTATTGTACGTAACGTTGTCACGCCGATGTGCCGTGACGTTAAACGCATGTGTGTGCTTTTCGGCCCAATCGGTTATCAAATCGCCGACGCTCGATTCCATAATCTATTTTCGAAAGAAAAGAAAAAAAACACCGATTAATTGACTTGACCCGCGAGGGAAACCGAACTGGCTTCGCGAGAGTAATCATGTGTAGGGTGCAGATAAGATGTAAATTAGCTTCACTTCAACCTTGGCTTCATACAGCAGGGGCCCGTGGAAACAAAGAACCCTCTCTCCTGAACAAAACAACAACAACACGCAAGCAAAGCGCGAATCAATCAGCCGTCGATGACCATCATTTATCGCCGCTCAGCCACCACCACCGCTCAGCCACCACCACCACTCAGCCACCACCACCACCGCCGCCGCTCAGCCACCACCACCGCCGCCGCTCAGCAACCACCACCACCGCTCAGCCACCACCACCACCGCTCAGCCACCACCACCACCACTCAGCCACCACCGCCGCTCAGCCACCACCACCGCTCAGCCACCACCACCACCGCTCAGCCATCACCGCCGCTCAGCCACCACCACCGCTCAGCCACCACCACCGCTCAGCCACCACCACCACCACCGCTCAGCCACCACCACCGCTCAGCCACCACCACCACCATCACCATCGCTCAGCCACCACCACCATCGCTCAGCCACCACCACCACTCAGCCACCACCACCGCCACCACCACCACCACCACTCAGCCACCACCACCACCACCACTCAGCCACCACCACCGCCGCCGCTCAGCCACCACCACCGCTCAGCCACCACCACCACCACTCAGTCACCACCACCGCCACCACTCAGCCACCACTCAGTCACCACCACCGCCACCACTCAGCCACCACCACCACCGCTCAGCCACCACCACCACCGCTCAGCCACCACCACCACCGCTCAGCCACCACCACCACCATCGCTGCCACTCAGCCACCACCACCACCACCGCCGCCGCTCAGCCACCACCACCACTCAGCCACCACCACCGCTCAGCCACACCACCACCGCTCAGCCACCACCACCACCGCTCAGCCACCACCACCACCGCTCAGCCACCACCACCACCGCTCAGCCACCACCACCACCATCGCTGCCACTCAGCCACCACCACCACCACCGCCGCCGCTCAGCCACCACCACCGCCACCACTCAGCCACCACCACCGCCACCACTCAGCCACCACCACCGCCACCACTCAGCCACCACTCAGCCACCACTCAGCCACCACCACCGCCACCACTCAGCCACCACCACCGCCGCCGCTCAGCCACCACCACCACCACCGCCACCACTCAGCCACCACCACCGCCACCACTCAGCCACCACCACCGCCGCCGCTCAGCCACCACCACCACCACTCAGCCACCACCACCACCACCGCCGCCGCTCAGCCACCACCACCACTCAGCCACCACCACCACCACCGCCGCCGCTCAGCCTATCCGTTTAACACAGACACACGACCCCGGTCCCTATAGAATTGACAAAGGCCGCATTCCCTACAAGGATGGTTCCCTACAACACAGGCTGCATACCCTAAAGCCTATAGGTTCAACACAGGCCACATACCCTACAGTGTATAGGTTCAACACAGACCGCATACCCTACAATGTATAGGTTCAACACAGGCCGCATACCCTAGATATAGGTTCAACACAGGCCGCATACCCAAGAGGGTATGGGTTCAACACAAGCCGCATACCCTAGAGGGTTATAGGTTCAACACAGGCCGCATACCCTAGAGGGTTATAGGTTTACACAGGCCGCATACCCTATAGAGTATAGGTTCAACACAGGCCACATACCCTAGAGGGTTATAGGTTCAACACAGGCCGCATACTCCAGAGAGTTATAGGTTCAACACAAGCCGCATACTCCAGAGAGTTATAGGTTCAACACAGGCCGCATACTCCAGAGAGTTATAGGTTCAACACAGGCCGCATACCCTAGAGGGTTATAGGTTCAACACAGGCCGCATACCCTAGAGGGTTATAGGTTCAACACAGGCCGCATACCCTACAGGGATAGGTTCATCACAGGCCGCATACTCTATAGGTTCACACCGCTCACCTTCCTGAAACTTGGGCTTGGGTTCAGGCTTCGGAGCCATTCGCCGCAAGACCCCCAACCCCCACAACCACCCCAACGTGCGCGCGCCTCGCTTTAAACGGCGAACATTACCAATTACTACAGATTAAAAAAAGGTGCAACTTAAAGAAAAAGCAGAAGAATGAAAGCAATAAATATAAAAATGTTCATGCAAATTCGGCGACTCAAGAGGAATTCTGGCGGGAAGCGCTCACGGCAGCAGCAACGGGGGCAGCTTTCACTCGCGGCGGCTCAACTTGTGACCCACGTGACGTGACGCTTTGAGTGCGCGAAGCGCCCCGAGGGCCGCCTAAAATTGGTCATCGAGAGTACGTCGCGGCGACGATCCACCCCGAGGGCGGAGAGCGGCGAGCAAAACGGTGGCGTCGTTTCTGTTGTTTGGGTACTCCGCGGTGAGTCCGTCGTCCGTTGTTGTTATCATTGACTGCGATGCAATAATTCTAAATTGTAATATGTTGACATTGTTGTCATGAACGTTATTCGTTCGGCGTGAAGGGGAGTTGGCTGTTGTACGCAGTTGTCATTAAGTGGATGGAGCGTGAGGTGGTGTCCGCTCGTTCGCGCAGTCCTCACTCAGGGTGACAAGGTCACTCACATTTACATTTAATGTCGGGCTACTCTCTCCTCAAACGATTCAAATTAGAAGATATTTAATTACGGGCACACAATCTGAGCGTCGGCCCTGCTAAAACCGGCAATGACGGCGTGCGAAACTTATTTGACGTCACTGCGACAGGGCAAAGTATATCCACCGGACGACCGCTGTTCAATCGCCATCACACTCATTGTATGGACCCCCCCTCCCCCACCTCGCGTGAGTGACCTCGGGTGCCCCCCGGCCGACAGGGGTCGCCGGGCACGAGGTGGCCGGTCACTTAAAACAAGTCCAGTTAATTTTGTCAAACGTTACCGCAGGTAGCAACATTAAAGGGAAAACGTTTAATGTGCAGCCGAACGAGGGGTATCATTTGCAACATTTCTAGTGAGAAATAAACATACACTTTGAAGAAAGATGTAAATGCATTGTAAATACAGTACCGTAATTTTATCTGCGTTGTGATTTATCCTTAAATTCTTAACTAGGGTGGCCAAAGGCCAAATGTTAAGAGCGGTGTTGAGCCTGCTTCGTGGTTGGACACGAGACCCCAGCAATACGCAGGTGTTGTAGGTTTGGGCTACAAGGTGCTCTAAATGTCAGAATAGCAAATGGATTTTTTTTTCGATTTAAAGCTTTCGTGACTGCAGGGATTCATCTTCTTGGTTCTTTCGGTAAAGTCACGTAGAAGGGAAGTAATAAAATAATAAAAATAAAACATAATAAAATAATTCTCACGACGTTTCGGCCACAACGCAAGCAGCCGTCCTCAGGTGAAGAACAGGTCTGTCGAGAAGACAGAGTCTGAATGACAACCCCAGGCTTGGAGTGTCTTTTTAAGCTGGGTTGGAGGGGGGGAAGAGCGCCTTGACAAAATAATTTGCATATCAAGAGGAATTTAGCATATATATAAGCTGGGTTGGAGGTGGAAGAAGAGCGCCTTGACAAAATAATTTCCATATCAAGAGGAATTTAGCATATTTATGAGAAATGCGTAGGAGGTGGGCTGGGGGGTTTCAAAGTCATATTATGCCCATGCATTATGCAGGATGAGCAGCATCAAAGGGAGGGGGTAGGGGGTAGCATTAACAAAGGGAGGGAATGTTAATAGTATGTAGAAGCAGGAGACCTGCAGCGGAGCAAATAATGCATTCCCTGTGGAGAACACAAGATACACAGTCAATGCCAGTGAGTGGACTGTGGTCTGAAAGTCACCGTAAACGTGAACAACAATCAGTTAAGATCCGAAATGGTTTATTAGGTCCTTCCAATGATTGCTGAGCCAGAATCAATCTTCTCGGTTGAAATTGTCTCTGTGTTTGTATATGTGGATCGCCTCATGAACGAATCTCTCATGGTAGCCAGATGGCTTGCAGAGAACCTCCGTCTTGGAGAAGTCAATGTCATGTGAGCCCACTGAATTGTAACAGTGATCTGCCACGGCTGAGGTGTTTGTCTTACCGTGTTTCAGGTCTGCTTTATGTTCACGGATGCGGTCCGAGACATGTCGTTTGGTTTCTCCAATGTAACTGCTACCACAGAGGCAACTTAGTTTGTAGACGCCAGAGTACTGTATGTCTAGAACCACGTCTTTTACAGACGGGACCAGATCACGGATTTTATGTACTGTGTTGAATCGGACCTGGATCTTGTGTTTAATCAGGATTTTGGAGATCTTTTTTGTGACCCCAGCAATGTAGGGTAAGGAGATGGTTTTGATAGGCTCCTCAACAGGATCCTTCTTGATGGTTGGAGTGATGGCTTTGCGGATTGTGTAGTCGGAGTAACCATTAGCCTTAAGAGCTTGGCGTACGTGTTTGAGTTCACTGGCAATGTGTTCCTGGTCGGAGATGCATTGGGCTCTATGGTATAGAGTCTTGATGAGGGAGTTCTTCTGGGATGGATGGTGGTGGGAATCCGGTTTTAGGTAAGCATCAGTGTGGGTGGCTTTCCTGTAGACAGAATGGCTCATTGAACCATCAGGTCTCCTTTTAATTAGGACATCCAAAAAGTGTAGCTTGCAATCTTTTTCGACTTCCATGGTGAATCTGATGGCTGGGTGTATGGAATTGATGTGGTCGAGGAATTGGTCTAGAGCAGGCCGGCCATGTGGCCAGATGACAAAAGTGTCATCTACGTACCTCTTCCATAAAGTCGGGCGTAGAGTGGCAGTCTGGATGGCGTCGGTCTCAAATTTCTCCATGAAAACATTGGCTACAACCGGAGATAGGGGGGAGCCCATTGAGGTACCCTCAGTTTGTTTGTAGAAAGTTCCATTCCAGGTGAAGTATGTATTGGTTAAGCAGTGTCTCACCAGGGGGGGTACCCCAGCATTCAGTCCTTGATGAACCAAGTCTTCAATGATTGCGATGGTGTCAGGTACAGGAACTTTGGTGAATAAGGAAACCACATCAAAACTGACAAGCAGGTCGTCTGGGGACAGGGAAATCCCCTTGATTGTCGATACCAGGTCAGTAGAGTTTAGTTCCGCAGAGGTGTTTTTTCCAGTGAAAGGCCGTAGGATTTCAGACAAAAAACGAGCCAGTTTATAGGTGGGGGAGTTGATAGTAGAGACAATGGGACTGAAGAGGTGTATCTTCATGTATCTTTGGCAAGCCGTATAATCTTGGTGGCCTGGCTGCAGAAGGTTTCAACGAGAACTGTTTGGTCTGATCAATTAATGCGGTTGAAGCAGAAATGATTGTGTTGGTTTTAGAGACAAGGCTGTTGGTGGGGTCTCTTTTTATTTTTGTATAGCTGCCATCGTTGAGTAGTTCTTGAATTTTGTTGTTGCATTCTATTTTGTCCATGATGACAGTGGCATTGCCTTTGTCGGCTGAGAGGATGACAATGTCATCCCTCTTTTTTAATTGAGCTAATTCGAAACGCTCATCTTTGCTGATGTTGCTAGCTGGCATCTTAGTGTTTTTGAGGGTTGCAGAGATTTCAGATCTTGCTACGTCTGCAGCGATGTGACTCAGGCCCTTGAGAGCTACATCTACTCTAGTAATTATATCATTAACTGGTATGTGTCTAGGTGTGACTGCAAAGTTTAGTCCTTTAGCTAAAACGGATTTCAAACCTTCAGAAATAGAACTGTTACTGCGATTAATTACGACTTTGTTAACATCTAGCTTTTCAATGTGTGGGTCCGGTCTCTTGTTTAAGAGGCGGTTGAATTTGGAAATCAAGTTGTCCTTACATTTGGTCGACATAGCGGCAGCTGAAGAGGCAGTCAATGTGGTTACATGTTCCCAATCCGATGTGGACATTGTTGCAACTGATCAAGATCGGTGCGCGTAAGTCTGATTTTCTCTGAGATAAGAGCTAAGCTAGTTCTAGACAGAATTCGTTTAGCATTAGAAGAAGTTACAGCAGCAGATGTTAGTGTAAATGCGTTTGGTATTACCTTAGAGTCGCGGCATCTCTTCAGAAAGGTGAGAGACTCGATTAGCTGAGCCTTCTTATCACGGAGCTTGTTGAAGGATCTCAAAGTTATGTAGAATCCCTCCCCGTAGAGGCGGTTAAATTTCGATTTAAAGCTTTCGTGACTGCAGGGATTCATCTTCTTGGTTCTTTCGGTAAAGTCACGTAGAAGGGAAGTAATAAAATAATAAAATTAAAACATAATAAAATAATTCTCACGACGTTTCAGCCACAACGCAAGCAGCCGTCCTCAGGTGAAGAACAGGTCTGTCGAGAAGACAGAGTTTGAATGACAACCCCAGGCGTGGAGTGTCTTTTTAAGCTGGGTTGGAGGGGGGGAAGAGCACCTTGACAAAATAATTTGCATATCAAGAGGAATTTAGCATATATATAAGCTGGGTTGGAGGTGGAAGAAGAGCGCCTTGACAAAATAATTTGCATATCAAGAGGAATTTAGCATATTTATGGCAAATGCGTAGGAGGTGGGCTGGGGGGTTTCAAAGTCATATTATGCCCATGCATTATGCAGGATGAGCAGCATCAAAGGGAGGGGGTAGGGGGTAGCATTAACAAAGGGAGGGAATGTTGATAGTATGGAGAAGCAGGAGACCCGCAGCGGAGCAAATAATGTATTCCCTGTGGAGAACACAAGATACACAGTCAATGCTAGTGAGTAGACTGCAGTCTGAAAGTCACCGTAAACGGAAACAACAATCAGTTAAGATCCGAAATGGTTTATTACGTCCTTCCAATGATTGCTGAGCCTAGACACATACCAGTTAATGATATAATTGCTAGAGTAGATGTAGCTCTCAAGGGCCTGAGTCACATCGCTGCAGACGTAGCAAGATCTGAAATCTCTGCAACCCTCAAAAACGCTAAGATGCCAGCTAGCAACATCAGCAAAGATGAGCGTTTTGAATTAGCTCAATTAAAAAAGAGGGATGACATTGTCATCCTCTCAGCCGACAAAGGCAATGCCACTGTCATCATGGACAAAATAGAATGCAACAACAAAATTCAAGAACTGCTCAACGATGGCAGCTATACAAAAGTAAAAAGAGACCCCACCAACAGCCTCGTCTCTAAAACCAACAAAATCAGTTCTGCTTCAACCGCATTAATTGATCAGACCAAACAGTTCTCGTTGAAACCTTCTGCAGCCAGGCCACCAAGATTATACGGCTTGCCAAATATACATAAAGAAGATATACCTCTTCGTCCCATTGTCTCTACTATCAACTCCCCCACCTATGAACTGGCTCGTTTTTTGTCTGAAATCCTACGGCCTTTCATTGGAAAAACCACCTCTGCGGTACTAACTCTACTGACCTGGTATCGGCAATCAAGAGGATTTCCCTGTCTCCAGTCGACCTGCTTGTCAGTTTTGATGTGGTTTCCTTATTCACCAAAGTTCCTGTACCTGACACCATCGCAATCATTGAAGACTTGGTTCATCAAGGACTGAATGCTGGGGTACCCCCCCTGGTGAGACACTGCTTAACCAATACATACTTCACCTGCAATGGAACTTTCTACAAACAAACTGAGGGTACCTCAATGGGCTCCCCCCTATCTCCGGTTGTAGCCAATGTTTTCATGGAGAAATTTGAGACCGACGCCATCCAGACTGCCACTCTACGCCCGACCTTATGGAAGAGGTACGTAGATGACACTTTTGTCATCTGGCCACATGGCTGGCCTGCTCTAGACCAATTCCTCGACCACATCAATTCCATACACCCAGCCATCAGATTCACCATGGAAGTCGAAAAAGATGACAAGCTACATTTTTTGGATGCCCTAATTAAAAGGAGACCTGATGGTTCAATGAGCCATTCTGTCTACAGGAAAGCCACCCACACGGATGCTTACCTAAAACCGGATTCCCACCACCATCCATCCCAGAAGAACTCCCTCATCAAGACTCTATACCATAGAGCCCAATGCATCTCCGACCAGGAACACATTGCCAGTGAACTCAAACACGTACGCCAAGCTCTTAAGGCTAATGGTTACTCCGACTACACAATCCGCAAAGCCATCACTCCAACCATCAAGAAGGATCCTATTGAGGAGCCTATCAAAACCATCTCCTTACCCTACATTGCTGGGGTCACAAAAAAGATCTCCAAAATCCTGATTAAACACAAGATCCAGGTCCGATTCAACACAGTACATAAAATCCGTGATCTGGTCCCGTCTGTAAAAGACGTGGTTCCAGACATACAGTACCCTGGCGTCTACAAACTAAGTTTCCTCTGTGGTAGCAGTTACATTGGAGAAACCAAACGACATGTCTCGGACCGCATCCGTGAACATTAAGCAGACCTGAAACACGGTAGGACAAACACCTCAGCCGTGGCAGATCACTGTTACAATTCAGTGGGCTCACATGACATTGACTTCTCCAAGACGGAGGTTCTCTGCAAGCCATCTGGCTACCATGAGAGATTCGTTCATGAGGCGATCCACATATACAAACACAGAGACAATTTCAACCGAGAAGATGGATTCTGGCTCAGCAATCATTGGAAGGACGTAATAAACCATTTCGGATCTTAACTGATTGTTGTTCACGTTTACGGTGACTTTCAGACCACAGTCCACTCACTGGCATTGACTGTGTATCTTGTGTTCTCCACAGGGAATGCATTATTTGCTCCGCTGCGGGTCTCCTGCTTCTACATACTATTAACATTCCCTCCCTTTGTTAATGCTACCCCCTACCCCCTCCCTTTGATGCTGCTCATCCTGCATAATGCATGGGCATAATATGACTTTGAAACCCCCCAGCCCACCTCCTACGCATTTGCCATAAATATGCTAAATTCCTCTTGATATGCAAATTCTTTTGTCAAGGCGCTCTTCTTCCACCTCCAACCCAGCTTATATATATGCTAAATTCCTCTTGATATGCAAATTATTTTGTCAAGGCGCTCTTCCCCCCCTCCAACCCAGCTTAAAAAGACACTCCAAGCCTGGTGTTGTCATTCAGACTCTGTCTTGTCGACAGACCTGTTCTTCACCTGAGGACGGCTGCTTGCGTTGTGGCCGAAACGTCGTGAGAATTATTTTATTATGTTTTATTTTTATTATTTTATTACTTCCCTTCTACGTGACTTTACCGAAAGAACCAAGAAGAGCAAATGGATTCTTAAATCCATTTTGTGCGGAGTTTTGAGCGTTACCCCATCGTATTCGTTGTGGGTCTTCTCTGGTTTTCTGTGACAGAAACCAGAGCCTTCTTAATGTACGGTAATTAACAAATGTTACTTTAAATGAATTATTGAGACTCACAAATTGCTGGATAAAGGGAATGATCGTGTTTCTATGTAACTGTTAAACAATGCAAGTCGTCATTTATTCTGCTGATAAAGATGAAGCGTGCAATGTTAGGTTCTGAATAAAACGTTGGAATGGTTTTAAATTTGAATTAAGTAAAAATCATAAACTTTTAGAACTCTCTCGAATATTTTCAACTGAACTCTGTGAAGAGGAATCATTTTGTTGTTCAACATTTTCACGCACATTTAAACCAACACTGAGTAGATCATTTACAGGGTTAGGTTTGCTGTTATGCCCAACAATGGCTTACACAGTAGTCGACTTTGCCCCAAACGTTAGCCGCATTGCTCGCAGCGCATTACTGATAAAAGGAGCCAACTTTGTAACATTCGCATGTTCGTTTAAAAACAGATTGCGAGCATCAATATTTGCACCAGGAGGCTTGCAAGCATTGGTGAACACATCTCCATTATTTATAACCAGGTGAGAGTCCTTTAAGACATTTAAGCATCTCTCAAAATTTAAATTTTTGTGTTGCAAACATCTTTTGCGATGCGTATGCGGTGTGTGTGGTGTAGTTTTGCGCATTGAAATGGAATCTGAACTTGGGGGCTCCTCTAAGTTAAATCGGCATAGAATGTGTGCCTGGTGCAGTGTGTACCTGGTGCACTCGAAAGATACAGGTGGTCTGACGTACATCTGACAACACCACCCCTTGCGTGCCACGTTGACCTTAATAACAGTTCAACAATAGCACTGTGGTCAAAACATTATTTTGACTTTGTCGGAAGTCAACGGTGGTTGTCCTAAGAAAATACTGCCCTCGACCATGGGAATATGGAATTTCCACCACTGGCGTAGAGCGTGGATAAACTTACTCTATTTACAGGGTTGTCTGATGTGTATTGTGTTTGCACAGCGTGTTATTCGGTATGATGTCTGACGTTTGGCTGTACGTTCTTGGAGCTTCTTCAGGAACTGAGGAATAGTTCTGGCCTCGAACAACGTGTGTTCCAAACCAAAAACACAGAGAAACCTATACCGCAGAATCTTGGAATCCGACACCATGGCAGACGATTTACAGCGCCTGCCATGGCTAAACACATCACCTTTGTATTCACAGCATTGCGAGCGATGGCGATTGCCGGCACGCGCGTTGTGGAGCTGGCTGGCCTGGCCCCGGCGCCCTTCTGTGGGATGGTGCTAGCGGACTTTGGGGCACAGGTGGTGCGTGTTGACCGCGCGGGGACGCGTGCCACCATGCCGGATGTGCTGGCACGGGGGAAACAATCGCTGACGCTCAACCTGAAGTGTCCGCAAGGCGTAGCCGTGCTGCGCCGGCTGTGCCTTGCCTCCGATGTTCTCATTGAGCCCTTCCGTCCCGGTACCAGCAGAGAAGCGCACACAAATGCAAACACTCCACCCCCCACCACAGTACAGCCTTAACAGGCTCTTGGGGCAAGTGCTATTAGCGAGTAGCACCTATGAAGGCTGGAATGGCACACGAGGGGGTGGATGACCAGCACCACGCCCGGCCGCCTTTGTCTGCCTTGTGCTGATGTTTTTATACCCCGCACCAGGTGCTCATTTTTGGCTGAGTCGACCTACGGGAGGCCCAGGACTGGTTCAGATAATCATCATTGGTGTTGGCCGTAACCAGAATTGACCTCGGGTTGCTGGGGCCATAGTGGAGAGAGCTAACCGCTGCACTACTGAGCAGCACACAGGTACACACACGCATGCATCAGTGCTGGCAGGAGGCACTGTTATCTTACAGCATGGTGGTGCATGCCTACGATCGAGCACTTCGAAGGTGAGGGTTGGTATATCTCAAAGATCTGTAAAACTCCAAAACCTACCGGGCTGTTGGAGGGGTGGCCAGGAGATGTTAGTATGGTAGGTAAGACCTTAAATGCTTTATGGTGTTGCCTTCATATCCGCATCTCCTGTTGCTTCAGCTCCCCACTCCCAGCCCTGCTCTCTTCCCCTCCCCACCCCCCGACATTTTGTCTCTGCTCGCCCTTTAATCCCTTCTAGCTGCTCTTCACTCGGCAGCGCTCCACTCCCCCTACCCCACAGTCCCCCCCCCCTCTGCCTCTCCTCCCTGGCTCTTCCCCCCCTCTCTTGCCTAGATAGCCTCTTGTTACAGCAGCCCTTTTGCCCACTTCAGCAATTGTTTCTTGTTGTGGTTGTCCCACCTGATGACGGATGCTTGTGTTGCGCCCGAAACGTCGTGATTTAATTTATTTTATTTTATACCTACGTGACTTTACCGAAAGAACCAAAGAGTATGTGGGTTTGTGAACTCTGCTGTACGGACCAGTGAGTGTTATCTCCTCTTGTTTTGTGTTGCGTTTTCTCTGGTGACACCAGTTTCTTCCCACAAGTAGAACATTAAAGTATCTAAAAATGAATCGGCAAAAACATCCCTCTGTGGCTGTCCTGTCCTCATGTTCCTACATCCCCACGTCCTCATTGTCTCTGTCCTGTGTCCCCATGTCCCTCCACGTGCTCCCTTTTCCCCAAGGTGTAATGGAGCGGCTTGGCCTGGGCCCAGACGTGCTGCTTGGCGAGAACCCTCGTCTCATCTACGCGCGGCTCACCGGCTTCGGCCAGAGCGGCCCCTATGCCAGCATGGCCGGCCACGACATCAACTATGTCGCCGTGTCCGGTAGGACCCGCGATGCACGGCGTAGATAAGTTCGGGGGGGGGGGGGGCAGGGGGGGCGCTGACGTTGCCGGCAATGTGGAGTCGCCACGGGAGACAACAGAGCAGTGGTTATTCGTGCTTTCCAACAAGTGTTGAAAGCTTTCATGCATTAGCTTCGGTTCGTAAATCTGTTGCTATAATGGGCTTACCGAATGTAAAACCGGGAGCGTAGACTTTAGAGCAAAGTACAGCGCAACAATGGATTTTGGTGCACTGTCCTCTGCTGGCTACGTTGTCCTGCAGCCCCCTGTGACACATGTTATGTATGCGGTGCCAACCCGAGCACTATCGATGCTCAGCCCTGCTTAGCTTGTGAGATCTGAAAAAAAATTGGGCACATGTATGTATGTTGAACTTCTTTCGAAACGTATGTAGACAACCATGCTCATTGGAGGTGTGGGGAAGGACAACAGACTAAACAAACACACATGCAAAAAAAGGCAGTGGGCTCTCATAAACAGAGTCCATGTATGTATGCAATATTTGTGAAATGTTTTAAAGTGGATTTGTAGAGGGAGGGGAATCCTTCTGCTGAGCTGGAGCTTCTCGCGTGGCGGTGGCTGCGTCATAATATTGTGTGTGGCCGTTTCTCCTTGACCCTGCAGGCTTGCTGTCCATGCTGGGGCGCCAGGGCGAGAAGCCCACGCCGCCTCTGAACCTGCTGGCGGACTTTGCGGGCGGTGGGCTCATGTGTGCCATGGGCATCACCATGGCCATGCTGGAGAGGAACAGGTCTGGTCTCGGGCAAGTCATCGACACGAGCATGGTGCGTACTTCCCCGCGTAATTTTTTTTGCCGATGCTGCTGTTGAAAGGAAACTGAGCCCTGTCGATGTTGTGCTCAGTGTTGGTGGTGACGTGGCCCCTAGCAGTGGGGCGTTCGCCATTTGTTGCAGAGGTTCACAGCTCGTATCCAACTGCTGTCCTGATTATTACTGAGGGTCTATTAACCATTAAATCCTACATACCGTTTGTTTGACAGCAGACATTAAAGATCCCCTGACTTCATCCACAAGCTAACAATGTGTAACAGTGACAAGGTCCAAATTTGGCGAGTAATTTTTTTTACCACAATATACTTAATCGAGATTATACCTTGCATTCATCACCCCCTACTGGCAGACCAATGCCCCAGGTGTTGCAAATTAGACTATCCTGGTTTCCTGAGTTTGCACCCATTTGAACAAAATAAGCTAAGTATTTGAGTTGGACTTTTGTTGAGTTGAGAATGGAGGGAACGAGACCAAGAGGCATGGCCAAGGAAGGAGGTGGAAAGTTGGTGTCATATAGGCCTAGGAAAGGAGAGAAGATCACTGAAGAGTGATGAAAACAGCAGATGGGAGGATATGAAGGCAATGGGAGATGTTGCCCTCCAATCGACTTGGATGTCTGGATACAGACTGATGATGAGGATGATGATGAACATAATGATGATGATCATAATGAGCCTCGTGTTGTGTGGTGGCCGGGTGGCCTAGTGTTGGGCTGGTGTTGCATCAGACTGCCTATCCCTGCCCAATATTTACGTCAGGATTTTTATTGTACATATTAATCAAATGTTATGTTGAGAAACATTTTTCACTTTAGTTTTTTTATTATTGCATTTATTCCTTTCCCCCAGTGAAATATGTTTGCATACTGCATCATTTGTTTTTCACATTCGGTTTCCTTTGCCAAAGAGACCTTTGCCTGTATGGGTTCTCACACTGTTTAGAAATGAAATCTTACTTGTTCTCTGTGTGGTGTAATAGCGCCGGCTGGTGGGCAACAGCAGCAACTGTGGTAGACAGACAATACACACACACCGGTGAGCGTGTGCACAGGCGTGTTGGCAGGGTGGAGGAACTGGGGCAAGGGTCACGGAGGACCCCGTCTGGAAGTCTCTGGAACCTGCTAGTGGGTAGGATAAAAGGAGCCGAGAGCGGGAGCTCGAGGCTGCCGGTTCTGGGACTGCATTTGTCTCGTCGTTGCTGTTGTCTCGTCACCGTCGTCGCTGCCATCTTCGCTTGATATTTCGCTGCCAGATAGTTGTTGGCTGTCTCAGTCAGCGCGTGTTGTGTATAGGCGAGGTTAAGAGACTGTAGAGAGTGTGCAGGCAAGACCATGAATGTTCTAAATAAAATAAGGTGCCTCCTACAAACCTCATCTCCGAATCACTGACACTACATCTGTATGAGGGTAAAAGTGGCACAGTGGTGAGCCCACTGCTTTAGGAACTTGGTTACCTGAGTTTGATTCCTGACTCCGGCCACTCATATAAGTGGCGAGAGATATTTGAACCGGTCTTAGACCCTCCTCTAACCACCGTCACCAACTCGCATTGACCAGCTTCATGATTAACATAACATGGGAATACCTTCATCCAGCAGTGGATTGACAAAGGGGCTGTGTTTCGTTTATGGTCCTTCCCTCGAAGCTCAGATTAGCATGGTTGGCTACATACGGTGCGAAAGAAGTTGAACGTACATACATACATAAATTGTGTGACTTTAATTCTGTGATGCACGCAACACGAGGGGGAGTTTTCACGTTAAATCAGCTGCGATGTGTCATGTGCCTTATGCCCACTTCACATTCCCACGTGTAAAAACACGCACCAAGCATTGTCCTGCATTGTGCAGCACACACACATTCCCATTTGCCTACTTCACGAATATCAAGTGAGCATTGCTATCACACTTGTCACCGTGTTAATGACTGAACCATCTTGCGACCAATATCCATAATACAGGTTTTGTTTGGTTAGATCATGTAAATATATAAATGTGTCGTTAAACCCACCACCACCCGACACAGCCAATTAGTAAGGTTTGTCATGCAAACAGAACATGCCAATTCGTTACTAGTGAAGTATTGGAATTGACGGCAGGAACTTCTTGACGGGTAACACACTTTTATTAAATCTTGACGTGTCACAATACAACGGGTGGTCTCTATCCTTTGGACTATACACTCCACTTAACTCGTGTAGACTCTATGCCTCTGGCTACACACAATACACTTGACTCGTGTAGACCCTATGCCTCTGGCTACACAATACACTTGACTCGTGTAGACCCTATGCCTCTGGCTACACAATACACTTGACTCGTGTAGACCCTATGCCTCTGGCTACACACAATGCATTCGGCTCGTGTAGACCCTGTGCCTATGGCTACACACACTACACTTGCCTCTGGGTTACACAGAGTCCCGGTCCCGTTAGGACAGCGGGACTAGGTACCGCAGGGCCCTATGTCTTCATCCCCGTCTTCATTCTTCGCTGGTTACATACTGCCCTTACGCCTGTGTGCATCCCCTTTTATAGCCCCTGCTCACGAGAGACGGAGCTGATGCGGACGTCGACGTGAGCATCGTTCCTTAGTGAACCAATCACGACGCACTCTCTCTACGATCCGTTTTCCCCAGCGCGTGTTAACACTACTCCACCAATCACACCGCGCTGCCACCCGGTCACTCCCTCTCAGCGCGTCACCGGCACACAGCCAATCAGTACCCCGTAACCCACGACCCCGCGCTGACCCCTGATCCTCCACCGTCAGCGCGCGTCACCACATACACAGCCATTTATTACGCGCTGGCATACGATCCCTAATCCCAGCGCGTATCACCACTACATCACCCCCTCCCACATAGCTTGCAGCCGGCCCGGCTGTTAACCAACAACACAACCTAACGTCAACGCAGTAATAAAGAAACCCCACCCCCCAGTGTGCCCCGTAACGCAACAACAACAACACAACAACAACACTTAAATAAGAAGCAATATACAGCCCGACGAACAACACAGTAAAAGCGAACACCCGAAAACGAACGCGCCAAGTGTCTCTGTGACTAAACGCAGTGACGAGGCGCTCCGGCTGCCTCGACTCCTCACGTGGTAGGTCATAAAAAGTAGCGCGACCTAGCGCGAGTCCGTCTGGCCGGTCCGTCGTATGGGACGGGACGCTGGCATACGTCCGGTGGCTCCGGCAGCTCTAGACGGCGCGGATCGGGCCTGGAAGGACCGGCCCCGCCGCGAAGATCCGGCCGCCGGTGGTCGGCAGCTGTCAGTTCCGAGACACCTGGGAGCGGATCAGGCGGAGACATGTGAGGAGCAGGCAAAGACAATTCCCCCTTAGGGTCGTCGGTCACGTCACATGCTCGGCCCTCACGACACAAGGGGAGGCCATATGGAGGCGAGAACGGTTTCAGTCGGGAGGGGTGGACGTACCAACGGCGTTTTCCCCATTTTATCTGAACGCACTGGGGGCGTGCAACCCGCACGACCTCCACGGGTCCCCGCCATGGCTTCAATAATTTAGGCGACGTAGCCAAAGGTGCCTGAGGGCAATGCAGCCAGGCCCTGTCACCTGGTTCCCAGTTGTGCACGGACACCTTCCGTGCACGCAACCGCTCGTTTGCAATTTGGCGAGCCCGCGAATTAAGCCGTGCGGCCTCCCTTGCCTCTGTCAGCTTATGAATGTTAAATTTAATATGCTCTGCCAATTTCGAATTAGTCCGTGGTGCGGGCAGACCCAGCTGCGTTTCCATGGGCGGGTCGGCTTCCCGACCGTACATCAGATAAAACGGGGAAAATCCCGTAGCTGCATGGGGGGCCATTCTATACGCGGCGAGGACCCCAGGAACCTGCAGGTCCCAATCAACATGTGCCTCACACACCTGCTGGCACAGCATAGAAGTCAATGTCCTGTTGAGCCTCTCCACCATCCCGTCCGTCTGCGGGTGGTACGGGGAGGTACGCACCTTCTTAGTACCCAACAGGTCGCACACCTCTTGCAGTAATTTACTCGAAAAATTTTTCCCTTGGTCGGTCAGTAAGCGTTCGGGAGCCCCCTTGTCCAGGACGTAGCCCTGGACAAAGGCGTCCATCACAGCCGCCGCCGACTGGTTGGCGAGTGGCCACGCCATAGGCCACCGGGTAAAATATTCGACCCCCACCAACAGGTACTTATTACCCCTAGGCGTGACTGGAAAAGGCCCCAGAATATCGAGTGCAACGAGCTCGTTAGTGCGCGAGACCTGAATAGATTGCAGCGGTGGATTAGCTGCCACAGGCGGTGGTTTCCGTCTGGCGCACTCAACACAACCCTTCAGAATATTCACCACGTCACCCCCCATTCCCGGCCAATAATAGTCACGCTGAAGCAGGGCAAGCGTTTTGTTCACTCCCAAATGCAAGAGGCGTTCGTGTGCGGCCAAGACAACCTTCCCCCTCACAGCAGAAGGCACCACAATCGCGTGCCGCCGGGACAAACTGTCCCATCTCATTAACAGGCCCTGCTTAAGCACGTAGGAGCCAGTTCGTTCATGGTCACCTTCGGAACCCCCCGTCCTGCGGCGCAATGCTAGCAGGGAGCTGTCCGCCATTTGGAGACGGCCCCACTCAATCAACGACAGTGAGAACAGCGAGTCCTGACCCCCTGGGGTAGCGGGAACATCCCCAATTGGTGTGCCCGCGGTCGCAACCAACTCCTCCATACCTTCCGTAACTGGCGGTTTACAGCGCGCCGATCCCGACAAGCACGCACATTTGTGACAAGGCAACAACCGCGACAGGGCATCGGCATTTGTGTGTCGCAACCCCTTACGGTATGTAGTCGTGAACTGATAGTCCTGGAGGACTTCCAACCACCGCGACAATTGGCCCGAGGGCTGGGCGACCCGCAATGAATACTGGAGCGCCGCGTGGTCCGTCCGGACCGTAAAGTGACGACCATAGAGATATGGTCTGAATTGTTGTACGAAAAAAACAATGGCAAGCAGC